AACAGTCTGCCCACCTGCCTTACTTCCTGTTAGACTGTGAGCCCCTTGAGGGCATGCGCCCTGCCTGAGTTATCTGTCTACCCAGGGCCTTGTGAAGGGCCTAACTCAGAAATGTTTATTTAACAGAACTGAAGCTGTGGGTTGACTGCCCATTCTACTTTTCCTTTAAGAACCAAGGCTGTCTCTGTTGTTTGCCTCCAGACAAATAGGAGAGAACTTAATCGTTCCTGGTGGAGTGAAGACCATTGAAGCCAACGGGCGGATGGTTATTCCCGGAGGTATCGATGTCAACACGTACCTGCAGAAGCCCTCCCAGGGGATGACTGCCGCTGATGACTTCTTCCAAGGGACCAGGGCGGCCCTGGTGGGCGGGACCACGATGATCAGTGAGTGACACTGTCCCCTGCCTTAGGGACATAGACTGTGAGGTCCCCTCCTCATCACCAGTATCACAAGTGCTCAGTGTGTTCGAGGCTGTCTGCCCAGGGTGCCACTGGATTTCATTCTCACCGCAGCCCTAGGACACAGGTCGCCGTTTTACAGAGCACACCGTGTGTGCCACTGGGACTACACAAGATGGCTTAATAAACAACATGGTTTTATAGGTACCAATTTAAAAAAATTATTTTTAAAATATTGAAATACCATCTCATTGGTATAATTGCTTAGCGTGAGACTGAAGTCACATTTAGATTTTTAGAAACAAAATGTGTTTAAAGAAAAGCATTAAGTGAAGAAGACATGGATTATAGGGAGATAAAGCAAAAAAAAAACAAAAAAAAACCCTTCAACATGATGTGAAGATGGCTGTGGTTTCAGAACCAGTGACATAGGTGTTATTGTGACAGATGGGAGAATAGAGGCTCAGAGAGGTAAAGCAACTTGCCCAAGGAGACATAGCTGGGAAGTGGTTGTATTAGTCAGTATTGCTGCAGTAATACTGTGATAAGACCACGTAACAAACAGCCCCCAAATCTCAAGCAACACTTGTTTTTCTCATTTGAGGGTGTGCAGGAGTGGGCGTGGGGCTGGAGTGGCTGTGCTCAGCTGTGGTTTGGACTCGGGCACCGTGGGTCTCCCATTCTGGACCCAGCGACTCCCCAGCCACTCTGTTCTCCTGGTGAATGGCAGAATGCAGGGGATTCTGGCCGAAACTTGCCTCCTCTCACTGCCTCATCTCTTCCCTTCCATGCTGCAGCTTCCACCCACATTCTGTTGGCCAAGGTCAGTCACGTGGCCGAGCCCAAAGTTGACAGGAGCACACTGTGCCACAGAGAGCCCTGGTGAGGCCGGGGAGGGAAGGAAATACTGTGGGCAATGAGACCAGTCCCCAACAGTGCTCGGTCTGGGAAACTGGATTCCTCCTCCATAGCCCTGTGCAGCCCGATTGCTGTTTCTTGTGTTGATTTTGAAGAGCTGCTTTTGCTTGAATTCATTTTAATAAGCAATTTTAACTAAATAGGCCACAGTTTATTGTAAATGTTCTGTCAACTGTTAGGCTCTTCAGTTCCAGGCTACTTGTCTGTAAGCTGGCCCCAACCCTGCCCGTCTCTCCCGCTTCTTCACAAAGGAGTCCCTTTGGAAGCGTGGTCTGTGGGCTGAAGCCCACTGCTATGGGCAGAGTTTGCCAAGTCCCTGAGCCAGGAGTGGGGCTCGACTTCTGAGGCAAGCACTGTCCTGATCCCTCTTCCAAAGGGCAGCCCGTGGATCTGCTGGATGGGAAATGGGAGGAAGATCTAGACTTGGACTTGGATCCCAGCGGCCAGGGTTTGAACCCGAGCACTGGCACTCGGCAGGCAGCTGCGTGACTGTGGCCAGCATTTGGCCTCTCTGAGCCTCAGCTTCCTTGTCTGTAATGCGGGCCTTATGGTGGGAAGCGCCTAGGGTGGTTTGGAGACGTACATGAGATTCCTTCGTGTAGTGCATGGGACATGAGAGTTCTCAGAGATGGGCACGGAAGTTCCGGGCTCAGGGGGACTGCATAGGGCAGGGGAAAGAGTCCTGGATGAGGAGCCAGAGTTCCTGGGACGTCCCCTGCTTTTGTCCATCACCAGCTGTGAGATCCTGGGAAGCCCTGCCCTGTAAACCTTATCCTCCTCACCTGTGAAGGGCAGTTTCCAAAGTGTGTTTCATGGAACACCAAGAGCCTGTGAAAGCACACGAGGACCACAGTCCGGGGCTCTGAAAGGGTCCCCGTCCTTCCCCATCTTCATTCAACAAATGTTAATTAAGAGTCCGCACCAGGCACTGTATCAGGTGAACAAAAGCAGGAAAGATGCTCGTTGTCAAGGGCCTGTCATCTCTCTGGGAGTCACTAATCATCCACATGTATGACTAGAAACTGTGACTCCTGCTACAAAAGAAGGGCGCACAGTGCTTTGAACTGAGGGGCGGGGTCTCGGGGAAGTGTTCTCTGAAGAAGCGACATTCGTGCAGGGATCTGAAGAATGAGTTGGAATTAACCAGGGGAAGGGGGCAGAGAAGAGCAGAGCCCCGGGAGGAGGGAATAGCATATGCAAAGGCCCTGAGGTGAGAACACACCTCCCATTCCAGAGACTGCAGGGAGGCCTGCGGGGCAGGGGTGTGGAGATTGAGGGATGACATCCTGTGAGGCAAGGCTGCAAGGAGAGGACAACCCTGAGCCTCGATGACCTGATGAGGCTGTGGCTCTTTCTCATATGGGTGACAGGCAACGTTGAGGTATTTTAAGCAGGGAGAGATGTGAACTGTTCTGCGTTTTGGAGAGACCGTAATAGAGTGGCCGGGATGGGATGTGGCAGGACCAGCTGGGAGGCGATGGCATAATACAGCTGAGAGATGAGAGCGGCGTGGCCGTGGACTGGGCAGAAGTGGACAGTTCCTGGGATATGAAGGCCAGTCAACAGCCCTCGGTGCTGGGTCAGACATGGGGGCATGCGAGGGAAAGGAAGTGCCACGGGTGACCTGGGCCTCTGGCTGTGGAACCGTTACTTGGGGATGTCCACCACAGCTGGGGTGGGGATGGGGACAGTACTGCATGAGGTTTTGGACATTCTGGTTTGGGGGAGCTTTTGAGTCATCTCGGTGGAGAAGCCAAGAACACAGCCGGGTTCAGAGTTCTGTAGCTCAGAGCACGTGGTGTGTTTCAATGAGCTGCTGCAAAGCGAAGGGATCCAGTTAGTGAGCCTAGTGAACAGTAGGGGATGGAGTCCTCAGGATGATTGAGAAGCGGCAGCCAAAGAAGTAGGACAAAGGAAAGAAAAAGCCAGAAGGTGGCATTGCCATGGAAGCTGGAGAGGAGCGAGTTTAAGGAAGGAGGGAGGGACCTTCTGTGCCCCAAGAGGCCAAGAAACTGAGGACTGCATGCTCCCGTTAGACCTAGAGATGTGAGGGTCATATTAGCAAAGGCTGATGCTTTAGGTGAATGGAGGTGTGAGTGGGAGGAGGAAAGGTGAGACTTCTCTTTTTGACATCTGCCTGTGAAGGGTGGGGGTGTGAAGAAACAGGGCAGTAAGCTTCAGAGTATATGAAGTCAAGGGAGGTTTAAAAGACTGGAGGCTCCCCTTTCTCATCTACTTTACATTTAAGATTTTATTTGAAAAAAGGATGATGAAGTGAACTTGTTTGGTCTCGGAGGTCCTTTTCATCTTGGCATTCTATGCCAAAGGAGGCAGCTTGGAGCAGTGGGTAAGAGTTCAGACTATCTGACAAGTCTTGGATAACCTTCCTTCTTCTGCTTACTAGTTGTATGCTCTTGAGCAATTGCTTTACCCTCTTTGAGCCTCAAGTTTTTCATCTGCAAAATAGGGATATTAATTTTCACTTTACAGGACAGTTGTGAGGATTGAATGAACAAGCTTATGTAAAGCTTTTGTGACATTATCTGACAAATAGTGAGCATTCCATAAATAGTTACGATGATGGTGATGATGATGACAATGGTGGCGATGATGGTGGTAATAAAGACTGAAGATGATGGTGATGATGTCATTGCTAATTAATGGTTATGGTTAATGATAGTGACAGTGATGGCAATATGACAATAATGATGGTGGGAGTGATTATGAAAAGGTTGGTGATGATGGTGATGATAATGGTGGTGATGGTGATGGGGTGATAATAGGGATGATGATGATGGTGATAGGATGGTGGTGAAGAAGATGGTGATGGTGATGATGATGATGGGGTGATAATGATAGTGATGATGATGATGGTAATGATGGTGATGATGGTGGTGATGGTGGTGGTGACAATGTTAGTGATGGTGATGATGGTGGTGGTGTGGTGATGGAGTGGTGATGATGGTGGTGGACTGATAATGATAGTGGTGATGACAGTGGATGGTGGTGATGGTGGTGGTGGTGATGGTGGTGATGATGGTGATGGTGGTGGAGGTGATGATAATCATGAGTGATAATGATGGTGATGATAGTGGTGGTCATGGTGATGATGGTGATGGGGTGATAATGATGGTGATGATGGCGGTGGTAGTGGTGATAATGGTAATGATGATGGTGATGATGATGATGGTGATGGTGGTAGAGGTGATGATAGTGATGAGTGATAATGATGGTGATGATAGTGGTGGTCATGGTGATGATGGTGATGGGGTGATAATGATGGTGATAATGGCAGTGGTAATGGTGATAATGGTAATGACGATGATGGTGAAGGTAATGATAGTGATGGTGATGGGTTGATAATGACGGTGATGATGATTGTGGTGGAGATAATGATGGTGGCTGTCGTAGTGATGGTGGTGATGGTGTGATAATTATGGTGATGATGATGATGGTGGTGATGGTAATGATGGCAATGATGGTGGTGGTGGTAATGATGGCAATGATGGTGGTGGTGGTAATGATGGCAATGATGGTGGTGGTGGTAATGATGGCAATGATGGTGGTGGTGGTAATGATGGTGGCTACCATTGGAACACTTGAGTCTGAAGCATCATGATGCATATTTCCCTGTCCCAGTTGACCATGTTGTTCCTGAGCCTGGGTCCAGCCTACTGACCTCCTTCGAGAAGTGGCACGAAGCAGCTGACACCAAATCCTGCTGTGATTACTCCCTTCACGTGGACATCACAAGCTGGTACGATGGCGTTCGGGAGGAGCTGGACGTGCTGGTGCAGGACAAAGGTCAGTTAAAGCCTCAGAACGGGGTTTTGGGAAATCCCTGGTTCTTTGGCGGATCCAAGGATTATGTGGAGTGAAAAATCCCCCTTTCTGCATCTGCTCTGAGCCTGATTATGAGCTGCCCTCTGCCCCATGACAGTGAGGAAACAGGCTAGTCCCTTTACAGAGTCCATCCTTTTCTCCTTGAAAACCTGTGGGCTGTCCTTGTTCTCAGAAGCAGATCCAGTCTCTGCAGCCTGCCATGCTAGGCCTTTGCTGATCTAACGTCACTTTTCTTTCCTATCACCCTGATCACTAGCCTGGCTGCCATCCCTGAAACTGGCTATACTGCGAGGCCCTTGCTCATGCGGATCCCCTGCCAGGAATGAATGCCCTTTCTCCTCTGCCTGCCCAGTGCTACTCACCTTCGAGACCCAACTCAACCATTACCTTCTCCCATTTCCCCAGTCAGAATTGCTTCATTCCTTGAATAGCCAATGCCGGTTACTTAAGCCTCCTTTGGGGCACTTTTTCCATTGTTCCTGGATTATGGGATGTTGTCTGTCTGGCTCTTCTGTCAAACCCTGAGTTCTGTGAGGGAGGGGACCGTGTCTATATGTCCCTGCTTCCCACCTTGGCTCCCCTCTGTTTGGGTTCACACCAGCACAATGTAGACACTTCATGGTGTGTGTTACAGCGAATGGAGGGGAACTGATCAGAAGACACCAAGGAAGCGAAGAACAACAGAACGGAAAGAGTCAGGGCATGAGCGATCTGTCCAGAAAGGGGCAATCGGGGCCCCTCTGAGGAGGCAGCCTCCAATCGTGGTGCTTCAAGGAGAGCGAGGATGTGTTTCCAGTTTTGAAAATAGCTGTGCTATGTTTTCTCATAATAACAGTATCATCCCCAATATTTAAAGAAAGTCAGAAAATGGAAGGAAAAAAATTGTTTTCCTCTGGTGCTACCCCCAATCACAATTTACTCTTTATGTGAAGGATTATTGCTTTCCATTCCCTGTGTATTTGGATGATTTTTCCCTATGTGGTTGTGCAATAGCTGTTATGTGGAACCCTTCTTTTTTCACTTAACATTTTACGAGTCACATTACTCTTCATCAGTAACTTTTTAATGGCTCCTAATGTACAATATAATGGTTAATTTGCTTAGCTATTTTCTTTTTATTGGTCATTTAGGCTTTCTATTTGTTTTATTATAAATCCTGTTATGGTGAACATCTTCATGTATAAACATTTGGTTGCATTTCTAATTTTTCTTCAGATTTCCAGAAGTGGAATTAGAAGGTCGAAGGTTTTAGCATTTTTCAAGATTATGACGCTTATTGCCAAGTTGGTTTCCTGAAAGATGCATCCCCTTGTACCCCTGCAAATCCTATGCCAGAGTCTCTAGTCCCTGCACCTTTGCACCACTGGGTGTTACTGCTTCTATGAAATTCTTGCCGATTCGATGGGTGAAAGACACCACCATTGTGGTTTTCATGGCAGTTCTTTACTGATTATATTCAACATTTTGCATACATTTTTCCTTATGTGAGTATCTGATTGTATTCTTCGCCTACTCATCAATTTGCATTTTCATATAGCTGTTTAAGCTCTTTCTATCAAGAAGGCATTATTGGCCATGGTGGCTCCCGCCTCTAATCCCAGCACTTTGGGAGGCTGAGGAGGGAGGATTGCTTGAGGCCCAGAGTTTGAGACCAGCCTGGGCAACATAGTGAGACCATGAAAAAAAAAACATAGCCGGGAGTGGTGGTGCAAGCCTCCCAGCTACTTGGGAGGCTGAGCGGGAGCATTGCTTGAGCTTGGGAGGTTGAGGCTGGAGTGAGCACTGCACTCCAGCCTGGCTCGGAGAGCGAGACCTTATCTTTTAAAAGAAAAAGGCATTATCCTTGTATTGCAGTTGCTGCGTGATTCACCGCAACTACATAACAGTAATAATCGAAGGAAATTGACAGTCTCATATCTTACTTTCCTTACCTAATATTAAGTTCTGAGCAATTTTCCCTAGGTTGCTGCCCTAAGTGAATGGTCGTTTAGGGCGCCCCTCACTGAGATGCAAGGGTCTCTGGAGTGGCAGTGGAGTCTGCAGGGAAAGACACTGGGCTCCATGGGGCCTAGTGGGTCTGTGCTGCTTGCAGGCATCCAGGGAGCCCTGTGCTGTGTGCATCTGGCCTGGGTCACCAGCAGGCAAATGGCGATTGTGCTCAGGTCCTGGCAGCAACCTTTCTACTTTGTATGCTTCCATGAAATCAACTAACTTTTTAGATTCCACATATAAGTGAGATGGTGCAGTATTTGCCTTTCTGTGCCTAGCTTATTTCCCTTAACATAGGGTTCCACGCTTCACCTTTGTTGCTGCAATACAGGATGTCCTTCTTTACTAAGGCCTCCATTGTGTACATTTACCACGTTTGTAAAATCCGTTCATTCATTGATGGACCCAGGTTACTTCCTAATCTTGGCTGTTGTAAATAATGCCGCAGTGAACACGGGAGTGGGGGTATCCCCTGGACATACTGATTTCAATTCCTTTGGATTTTTAGCCGGTAGTGGGACTGCTGAAGCATATGGTAATTCAGTTTTTAGTTTTGTGGGGAGCCTCTGTACTGTTCTCCATAGAGGTGGTGGTGCTAATTTACATTCCCACAAACGGTGCTCAGGAATTTCCTTTTCCCCACATCCTCGCCAACACTTGCTATCTCTTAGATGCAGGTCTGGTCCTCCCTCCCTCCCTCTCTCCCTCCCTCCCTCCCTTCCTTCCTTCCTTCCTTCCTTCCTTCCTTCCTTCCTCTCTCCTTTTTTTTTTTTTTTTTTTTTTTTTGACGGAGTCTTACTCTGTCACCCAGGCTGGAGTGCAATGGTGAGATCTCAGCTCAGTGCCTCCTGTATTAAAGTGATTCTCCTGCCTCAGCCTCCAGAGTAGCTTGGATCACAGGTGCACGCCACCACGCCTGGCTAATTTTTGTATTTTTAGAAGAGACAGGGTTTCATCATATTGGCCAGGCTGGTCTTGAACTCTTGACCTCAAGTGATCCGCCCACGTTGGCCTCCTGGATTGCTGGGATTACAGGTGTGAGCCACTGCTCCCGGCCAGGTTTTTATTTTCTAATCAGCTTAAACGCTCTCAGCGGCTCCACATCATCCCCAGAATAAATCACAAGCTGTCCGCCTGGCTCGTGAGGATGCGCCCACTCCTCCAGGCCGGCTTGTTCCAGTTCCTCGGGCCCAGAGCCCCGGCCCCCTGCACCTCCGTTTCCCATCTGCTCGAGGCTGCCTCTGGCCCTTGGGGCTGTGTGAGTGAGCGCTGGCCCCTTCAGGAACACTCTCCCTGCCTTTTCCTAGCGATTCTCCTGTTCGTGCTGAGCTGCACTCCCCTGGGAAGCCTTCCCTGAAGCCCCCTGACAGATGCAACCCCCCATGCATCCCCCACATAGGGATCATCAGACTGAGTTGTCTTTGCCCGTTGACTTGCTGGTATTCCCACACCCCAGCCCAGATGGCGAGCCCCCTCCGGGCAGGGACTTATCGTCTTGCTCACAGTTGCATGGCCGGTGCCTGCATACTGAGAGATGCATCAAATATCAGCGAACCAGCTGATTGATTTCCCGAAAGATACCTTTAGTAACTTCTGTATCCCAAGCGCTTAGCACATGCCTAGCATAGAGCAGGCTCTCAATAAATGTTTATAATATGAATAAATAAGTTAGGGAAGGAAAAGAGAGAGAGATGCAGGGAGGGAGAAAAGAAAGGGAAGGAGGAACACACCTGGTTTCCTTTGTCCTAAAGCGTTTTAGTGCATCCTTCTCTAAGTCAGAAGGGCTTCCCCAGAAATCTTGATAGTCGTCCTGAGCGTACTGTACAGTCCAGTGCAGGGCATTTCCAGGATGGGAAACCAGCACATTTGGTGTAATGTCCTCTTTGCAGAAATGGGGAAAGTGAAACTTCTCCAGTCCTACACAGCAACTGAGGCCTGAACTCAGCTCTCCCGGGCAGAGCAGCTGTCACTGTTGATGTCTTTATGGGAATTGCAAACACAATTTTTAAAAAAATGGGATAAAAAAGCATGTGCTTTAGGACATTTCTAGAAGCTGCATGACTAATGTCTTTTCATCTTCCTTGCAGATTCTTATTACACCCTCCCTTATCCTTATCACACCCCTCCCTCTCAGCCTGGGGAGTTTCCACCTCCTCCTCCTCCTCTTTCTCTTCCTTCTCCTCCTCCTCTTTTTCCTCCTCCTCCTCTTCCTCCTCCTCCTCCTTCCTTTCTTCTCCATCACCTTCAGATTCTGCTTAGGTGTGACTTTCCCTGGAAGCTTCCTTTGACCTTCACCCACACCCTCAGGCTGGATAGGTGCCCCTTTGGGGATCCCAATGGCACTCCTCTCTCCTGGCGACTACCACTCTGCTCTGTGGTCATTGATTTATTGGAAAGATATGCTTCTGTTTTTTCTTAAACATTTTTTTTTTATCCTTTTTTTCTTGAAACAGGCGTCAATTCCTTCCAAGTCTACATGGCCTATAAGGATCTCTACCAAATGTCCGACAGCCAGGTAGGTCCCTCACACTCGCCCTCTCCCCTCTTGTCTGGGCAGGACTGGGCCAGCTTTGCCAGTCCAGGCAGCACAGGGCAAGGGAGATTGTGAGAAGCCGCAGGGTTCGAGTCCTGATTCTGGCACGGAGTGGCTGTGTGATATGGTGTCAGTTGTTGCCCCTGCTGGCCTTCTGTTCTTTTCTGACCGTGTGAGCGGCATGCAGAAGGGGGTCCCTGGTTTGGCGGCTCCCAAACCTGGCTTATCCTCAGCATCATCTGGAGAGCTCACTCAAATACCAATTCTTAGTGCACGTTACGGATGCTGGGTGTTGGACTCAGGAACCTGTACTTCCCAAAAGCTCTGCATTTGATTCTGGGATTCAGGCAAGGATGGGGACCATTTCTGAGCTCTGACACAGGAAGACAGACTGCCTGGCCTTCCCTCACAGCAACTGCAACATGCTAGTCTTGTCACATTTGTAAGATGGAACATTTCTGGCCCTGCCAACAGCACACGATTATTACGTAGATGCAGCAAGTCAAGGGAGATGGAGCCGCAAGTTGTTCTTCAGGAGTAGCGGTTACGACTTACAGGACACCTGGCCTTCTTATACTCCTGGGTCTCCTAGTTTTGTTTCGTTGTCACTTTCCTTTGCTCTGCTTGTTAGTGTGTGGAGAAAATCATGGAGGCTACAGCCAAGCCAGGCTGCAAGCCCTGGCCATACCGGCTGCTTGTTGTGCAGCCAGGGGCAGCTCTCCCAACTTCTCTGTGCTTTAGGCTCATAATAGCTGTGCCTTATAGAGGCAGTTGAATGATTTCATAAGACGAGTAAAGTGCTAGGATGGTGCCTAGCACAGAATGCTGCCATACAGGCATCAGTAAGCAGGGTAACTGGTTATTACCATGGAGATAGATGGGCAATGGGAGAAGCACTTTATGTCCTTCCTTTCAAATAAACACTTGGGGTTACAGAAAATAACTTATCCCGAGATGTCCTGGAGGCCTTTGATACAATCAACAAAAGACATTCAAAGAGCTGAAAATTGGTTCAGTTACATAGAAAACATAGCATGTGATGTGCTGGCATAATTGTGATTTTCACCTGTTTCATTGTAAGCACTGGAGCCCTGGGCATGGATGAAATCGAGCAGCCTTTGGGTGCGGGTTCTCAAGAGTGCTTCACGCCTCCACATGCCTTCCCTATTTGCTGAAATAGGGATGTGTGTCGGAAAGCAGGCCTCCCAGGGGATGTCGTCTTGCATGCATGGAGAACAAAGTTGAGATTCAAATACCCCGGAGAGGGAGCTTCATGGTTTTGGCCCTTACCAGGGGCAAATGCCCAAATACAGATTCTCCTCAGGTAGGAGGAGCACACTGGGCAGTGGGCCGGGCCTGTTTTGGCTAATTGAGAGGATGGTTAGCATACTATATATTATCTGAGTATTGGAGTGATTAGAGAGCTTGTTTTCCTCACCCCACCATTGTCTATAAAATGGTATGGGTTCACATTTTTGTAAGGATGCACACATCTTCTGTGGCATGTGGGTGGCTATGGTACAGCCTCAGCAGATTTAGTTAGACAGTTTCTCTAAAACTAACCGTGACTTCTCAGGACCAGTTGTTGCCATTAACACCTACAGGTGTTTCAAAAAAGCCAACCCAAAAAGACAGCAAAAGGCACAGATAGGCACTGAGATTGAGTCTGTCTTCATGCCCTGGGGTGACTTGGACCAGTTGTGCCCCATCCTCAGCTCCCTGCTTTTGGATCTACAAGATGTCAGGGTCAAGAAATGGTCCTTCCAAGTCTGACTTGTATAGCAGCACATTCCATCCATATGAATGTGTCTGCAGAGGCTGGCAGGTGAATGACTGAATGGATGTGAGAGAAGAATGGTCTTCGTGAATGCACCTGCTGTGATTTTTTTTTTTTTAATCTCACACCAACCCCTGTTTATCTCTCCATAGCTCTACGAAGCCTTTACCTTCCTTAAGGGGCTGGGAGCTGTGATCTTGGTCCATGCAGAAAATGGAGATTTGATAGCTCAGGTGAGTGGCGTGAATTTCCACTCCTTCTACCTCAGTCTGATTCTTCTTGTTGCAAAAGGTTTGATAAAAGAGCATTGGTGAGTGGGGAGGCTATACAATGAAAGGTCAAGCCAGGAACTGGGTGTCATATCAGACACACCAGGTGAGAGTCACTCACACACCATTGGCAGTCCGCATTGACTCTAGAACCTGTTTTCTGACCTGTAAATGAGCACAATATAACTGCCCTGTGAACCTTGGAGGGTTTGCATGAGAGAATGAGGATGTGAATGAAATGCTTTGCCAACCCCAAGGAGGTGTTCCAGGCCAGCCTCCTCCATCTCCTAGTCATGTGACCTTGGGCAAGGAACTTTTTCCCATGAACGCTCTCATTTTTCATCCAGAGACACCCACCTGGTAGTGTTATTGTGTGCATCAAATGATATTATGTGCTGTGGTTTGAATGTGTCCTTCAAAAGTTCATATGTTGAAAACTTAATGCACAAGCTAGTAAGTTGATGGTATTTGGAGGTGAGGCCTTAGGGAGGTAATTTGGGTTAGATGAGATCATCAGGGTGGGGCCCTCATGATGGGATTAGTGGCTTTATAAGGATAGGAAGAGAGGCCTGAGTTGGCATGCACCTGCTGTCTCATGTTTTGCCCACCGCCATGCTGTGATGCAGCAAGAAGGCCCTCACCAGATGCTGACACCTTGTTATTAGATTTCCCAACCTCCAGAACCATGGGAAATACACTTATTTTCTGTATAAATTACCAAGTCTGTGGTATTCTGTTATAGCATCAGAAAACAGATTAAGACATCATGTACATGAGGTTCAGAATCTACACATAATTGACTGCAGCCGTGCAAAAGTTTTGGATAAAATGAGACATGAACATATTTTGATAATTCTAGCTATGGAGTGGAGAATTTGTTGAGAAAAGAATGAAAGCTGGGAGTGGTGGCTCACGCCTGTAATCCCAACACTTTGAGAGGCTGAGGTGGGCAGATCACTTGAGGCCAGGAGTTTGAGACCAGCCTGGCCAACATGGCAAAACCCCATCTCTACTAATAATACAAAAATTAGTTGGGTGTGGTGGAGCACACCTGTAATCCCAGCTATTGCAGGTGGGAAGACAACTGTTACAGGTGAGAATGCAGCTATTACAGGTGTGAGGCTGAGGCATGAGAATTGCTTGAACCTGGGAGGTAGAGCTTGCTGTGCGCTGAGATTGTGCCACTGCACTCCAGCCTGGGAAACAGAGTGAGACTGTCTCAAAAAAAAAATGAAGTCAGGGTGACCAGCTAGGTTCTATTCCAGCAATTCTCATAAGAAATGAAGAGAGGAGATAGGAGATGGAAGAGGTGAGTTGTGACAGGAAGGCAACACAATCTATAGGACCCATGGACCGATTGGGTGGAGGAAGAAGAGAAAGAAGTCAGGGGGGCTTCTGGGTCTCTGGTGCAGAGGCATGGATTGCTCATAATGCTGTAAATCAAGACCAGGCACGTAGGGGAAGGTTTGGATGCAGCCAGTAAAGGTAGTTCATGCCAGGCCTGATGCAAAGGGCTTCACATATTCATACTCACAACTACTCCATATGGTAGATATAATTATTCCCATTTTATAGATAGGGAAACCGAAGCTCAGATATGAATAAATTGCTCACTGTTGCTCACGGGGCAGTAGAGCCAGGATGTTAACCAGTTCCCTCTGGTTCCAGAGCACAGTGGAAGAGCAGCATAATGGCTCAGTGCTGGAGATCTAAAGCTTCACCATTAAGGTTCTTCTGTTGACTTCACTTCTTCTTATCTGGGTCCTTATAGTTTTTCTGCACAATTGACATTCTTTCAAATTCAATGTAAAAAACAAACAGTGCCTTAATTCCATCATGCAGGAGTGTTCTGTTCATTGCTAACAGGTCACTGCATCCAGCCCACACTCAAAAAGAAGGGATTATACAAGGGCAGGAATGTCAGGAAGTGAGAATTACTAGGGCCACATCTGAGACTTCCTCCCAATCTGTCTTCTGGCCCCCATGATTGATGACCCTCTCCCGTGCAAATTACAATCACCCCCTCCCATGGTTCTTAAAAATCTCATGACAGCATTAGCTCAAAGTCTGGAATCTCATCATCCGAACCAGATCCAGGTGTGGATGAGGCTCCTTGGCTGTATTTCCCATAATCTGTAGGTCTATGAAGCTAAAGAAGGAAGATATCTTCTCGACCCTCCTGACATACAACATGCAGGGGTGGACCTGACATTTCTATTCAAAAAGGGGAAAATAGAAGGCACCAAGGAGTCATTGGTTCATGGCGGTTCTGCAGTCTGGCTGGGAAATGTTGGCAGTTCCTTGATTGAGTCTCAAAGTCTGAGAAAAGTCTCCATAGCTCTTGGCTCTACCTTCTGAGCTCCTGCTTCCATCCTTTGAGTCGTCCATCCTTTTTCATGAAAGGTCGTGCATGTCTGTCGCAGCTGAGTGGTTTTCTCAGCCTGCTTCTTGCTCAGTAGAATTTTGGGGATCAGCCAGGCATGGTGGCTCACGCCTGTAATCCCAGCACTTTGGGAGGTCGAGGCGGGCAGATCACCTGAGGTCAGAAGTTTGAGACCAGCCTGGCCAACATGGCAAAACC